TCTTTTTTTTTTGGGGAGACAGAGTCTTGCTCTGTCACCCAGGCTGGAGTACAATGATGAGATCATAGCTCCCTGTGGCCTCAAACTCCTGGGCTCAAGTGATCCTCCTGCCTCAGGCTCCCGAATAGCTGGGACCACAGGTGTGAGCCACTGTGCCCTGTTAGAGATATTATTCTTCCCTGTTTGCCGTACAGGGAATGTGTGGAAGGCCATATTGGAAAACACAGACTATGGAGATGTAGAGGCCTTGAGTTTGAAACTGTATTCCTGTTTCTCCGCTTCATCATTAGTGATACCGTTATCCAACTGTTACTTTACTCAATTACCATGGTATATGGTTCTGTGGTAAAGGCTGTGAGAGGACATAAAAGAAATCTCTGCTGGCTGGGTGTGGTGGCTCATGCCCATAATCCCAGCACTTTGGGAGGCTGAAATGAGTGGATTACTTGAGCCCAGGAGTTCAGGGCCAGCCTGGGCAAGGTAGCAATATCTCGTCTCTACAAAAAAAAATATGAAAATTAGCTGGTCATGGTGGCATGCACCTGTGGTCCTGGCTACTCAGGAGGCAGAGGCAGGAGGATCACTTTAGCTTGGGAGGTGGAGGTTGCAGTGAGCTGAGATGGCACCACTGCATTCAAGCCTGGACAACACAATGGGTCTCTGTCTCAAAAAAGAAAAAAAATCTCTGCTAATTGTGAGCTTGCAGTTTAGTTGGGGAGGCAGTATATATATGTGCAGAATGCTTTGGTGAGTAAGTAACACAATGAAGACAAGGGAAAATCTATGCTAAGAGACTTAATGATGAAAACCATCCAAAAGGACTGAATAGATTCAAGAAAAATTAGAGGGGTTTTATTTTTTTGTTTTCCAGACACAAGCATTTTGAGTAAGAGAGTCAGGAATATGCCTAAGATGCAAATGACAAGAAACCCCATGGCGAGAGTGGAGGAATTAAGGCATATTGGCTAGATAGTGTGAACTTTAGAATGATAGTCTGAGGCAGGAGTTTGGAACTTTTGTTGCCATGGACCTCTTTGGCAGTGCTGAAGCCTCAGAATTATGTTTCCAAATGTGAAAAATAAAATGTTTAGGATTACAAAGGAAACTGATAATATTGAAATACAGTTGTTAAAACATTAAGCTCTTCTTTATTGATGCATGAAATAACAAGATTTACCAGTTGTTTTAATTACCATAATTTCAAAGTAGTGATCAATGAAAACGATATTTTGCATTTGGGAAATATCTGTGGATTCCACTAGGGACAGAGTTGCAGGTACTGCCAATTCTTCTGTGGTTTATTGCCTTCCTTCGTAATTGAAGGAGATGCCAATTTTTAGTTAAAGGTTTGTGAAAGTAAAAATGTAATTTTCTCCCCATCTAAGCTCAGGGACCCTCTGAATCCTGTCCAGAGTGCTTGTGTCTCTATGGACCAGATTAAGAACCTTGGGACCAGGCACAGTGGCTCACACCTGTAACCCCAGCACTTTGGGAGGCCAGGGCAGGCAGATCACTTAAGTTCAGGAGTTCAAGACTAGCCTGGACAATATGGTGAAACTGTGTATTTACAAAAAATACAAAAATAAGCTGCGTGTAGTGGTGCATGCCTATAGTCCTAGCTACTCAGGAAGCTGAGGCTAGAGGATTGCTTAAACCTGAGAAGTCAAGGCTACGGTGAGCCATGATCATGCCATTGCACTCCAGCAGCCTGGGTGACAGAGTGAGACCCTGTCAAAAAAAAAAAAAGAAGAATCATCATCATCCCTGGAAGGGAGATTATGTTCTCTCTTGTCTGGGGCAGCAGTGGTAATAGTTTTCAAAATTTTTTTATAATTAATTTTTTTTTTTTTTTTTTTTTTGAGATGGAGTCTCACGCTCACCCAGGCTGGAGTGCAATGGCGCGATCTCGGCTCACTGCAGCCTCCACCTCCTTGGTTCAGGCAATTCTCCTGCCTCAGCCTCCTGAGTAGCTGGGATTACAGGCACATGCCACCATGCCCAGCTAATTTTTTGTATTTTTAGTAGAGACAAGGTCTCGCTACATTACCCAGGCTGGTCTTAAACGCCTGACCTCAAGCAATCCTCCTGCCTCAGCCTCCCAAAGTGCTGGGATTACAGGTGTGAGCCACCACACCCGGCCTCTTTTCTTTTTTCTTTTTTTTTTTCTTTTTTTTTTTGAGATGGAATTTTGCTCGTTTCCCAGGCTGGAGTACAATAGTGCGATCTTGGATCACCGCAACCTTGGCCTCCTGGGTTGAAGCGATTCTCCTGCTGGGATTACAGGCATGTGCCACCACACCTGGCTAATTTTATATTTTTAGTAGAGATGGGGTTTCTCCATGTTAGTCAGGCTGGTCTCAAATTCCTGACCTCAGGTGATCCATCAGCCTCCCAAAGTGCTGGAATTACAGGAGTGAACCACTGTGCCCGGCCTATTTTTTTTTAATTTAGTTTTTTTTTTTTTTTTAAACTTTATTTACAAAGCAGTGAATGTCATTTGACAAAAGTAATGTTTGTATGGAACACTAATACCAAAACAAAAGAGATACTTTCTGACCAGAGAAGGAGAGGCAGCAGTTACTATGGCTTCTCTGAAGAACTGTATGATTTATTTTTAGTTTGTTTTATTAACAAACTCTGATGTAGTATTTACCACATACCAGGTGCTTTTCTGAATGCTTCAAAAATACTAGTTTATTTAATCCTCATAACAACCATATGTGGAAGGAATTGTTATTCTCACTTGGCATATGAGGGAACTGAGGCTCAGAGAGGTTGAGCCTTAAGCCCAAAGCCTCACGGGAGGCCAAGTCCTTAACCTCTATGCAATGCTGCATCCCCTAGTGTTAATTTGAAAACGGAGTGTAGGATTTTGACCAAGAAAGGGTGTAGTGGCATGTGCCTATAGTCCCAACTACTCAGGAGGCCGAGGCTTGAGGATTGCTTAAACCTGAGAAGTTTTAAGCAATAAAGTCAGTTTGGCCAGGTGCAGCAGCTCATGCCTGTAATCCCAGCACTTTGGGAGGCCAAGGTGGAAGGATTGCTTGAGCCCAGGAATTCGAGACCAGCCTCGGCAACATAGTGGGGCCCTGTCTCTACAAAAAAAAAAAAAGCTAGACGTGGTACCGCAGGCCTAAAGTCCCAGTTACTCAGGTGACTTAGGTGGGAGGATTACTAGAGCTCAGAAATTCAAGGCTTCAGTAAGCTATGATTGCACCAGTGCACTTCAGCCTGGGTGACAGACCAAGACCCTGTTTCAAAAAAAAAGGGCAGTCAATTAGTGGCCTAAGAAGTTGCTATTAGGTGAGAGTAGAATGGATTGGAACAGGGGAGGTGTGAATAGCAGGGAGACAGATAAATGGCTATTGCAAGTTCCAGATCAGAGAGGAGGTGGCCTTTGTGAGCAGGGGAGTAATACTATAAATGAAAGTTGAGATGAATATGAGAAACTCTTTGAATGAAAAATTGATATGGTTTCTTAGTTAACTTAATGTGGGAAGTAATGGAGTCAGACCATGGAGGACTCTACCGGTAACCAAGTGACCCTTCCAGCTTCTGAACTTACAGATAGATTTAAACGTCTCTTTTTGGCTTAATGAATTCATGTTTTGTTTTTAAATGTGTCCATGCTCTGTTTCCTTTATCCTTTCTTTTAGGTCGTATTAGGAATAAGCCTGAGGTGGATGAAGCTGCAGTTGATGCCATTCTTTCTCTAAATATTATTTCTGCCAAGTACCTGAAGTCTTCCCACAACTCTAGCAGGTGGGACACCCAGAGGAGTGTGAAGAGTCCACCCTTGTGGGGGTTAATTGGTACACCATTAGGTTCCTTATTCGTTAATGACTCCCAGTTCAGACGAAGACATGAACTCCCTTCTCCCTTCTAGATTCAAAAATCTATTTATTCACCTGCCTGCTGTGCTCTCCAAAAAAAAAAGAAAGAATTGGAGCTATTTGTATGTGATCAGTTACTCTTAGAGAATGGAAGTGATCTGTCCCATGTGAAGTATGAATAGATGTAACAAGTAATACATGAAAATTGGAGAATGAAAGCTCAATATATTGCCCAAGGATTTAAAAGTACAAATTAATTATTGCCAAGATTAAATGTTTTCCTGTGAAATAGTTGCTGTGGAGAGAAAGCTTTCTCTTACTCCTAAGTATCATGGAAACGTGCTCACCAAGATAAAAATGAAGCCTCTTGTGTTTAGTCTTTGCTGCTGCTAGTATAGGCTCAACTATTCTTAGTATTCGATTTTCGTTTATGCACAAAAGTGATAAATAATATGAACTCTTATGACCACGATTGGCTGCCATGCATAATAGATTTTACTTTGTCTTTCATTTTAAATGTTTCACTTAAAATTATTTTTTATAATCAGGTGATAACAGACAATTCATAAAGTATGTAGCCATTCTACTTTCCCTTTTAAGATTAAAACTAAACCAGCTGGGGTCCTCTTACCTCACCCAGCAAAGGAGTTCTCATTGTCTCAGAGACTCCATCTCTATATCCTAGCTATATCCTAGGGACTGGGAAACAGGAGCAGCTGCCTCTTCTAATGTGGGCTGAGCACAATGCCTTCACACCACAGGACTTCACTGTGCCTCAGTCTGCTCCTCAAAAACTTGTTTACATCCATGTTAAGAGGAGGAAGGGTAAGAATAAGACAACAGGCAGAAATGGAATGAAAGGTTTGGGCCAGGATTAATTTCTTTTTGTTGTTTTCTTGTGTTATAGTTTACCATAGGAAAGAGGAAAAAAACAAACTTCTATTTACTGGCAGGGGCTGTGGAGAAAGAGGGAAGGAGTGAGAGGGCATATATGTCTGGGGAGGGGGAGTGGCAGTAATAAAGAGGGGTGCTTTGACTATCTGTGGGCAGAATCATGAACAATACTATTTCCCTGAAGTCAGCAGTAATTCTGCATAGCTTTCTGTCTTCTGCCAATAGCTATGAAAAATGTATTATAGATTTCCCTAAGGTACTTAGTAAAATATACAGGGAAAGATGGGCTTTGGTTGAAATACTGGTTATTCTAAGTTTGCCTCCATTAGAGTAACTTTGAGAATTCCTTTAATTCATGCCCCCAAACAGGTCAGGTGCTACAATAAATGAATTTGGCTTTGTTAGAAGCAGCTTATCTTGTGAGTTAGAGTGAGTTAATCAAAAAAGGCTGAAGTCAAGAATAATAAAAAGATATACACCTTAAACATTTCTGTTCTAGGCTGGGCAAGGTGGCTCATGCTTGTAATGCCAGCACTTTGGGAGGCCGAGGCGGGTGGATCACCTGAGGTCAGGAGTTCAAGACCAGCCTGGCCAACATGTTGAAACCCCATCTCTACTAAAAATACAAAATTAGCCAGACATGTTGGCGCATGCCTGTAATCCCAGCTACTTAGGAGGCTGAGGCAGGAGAATCGCATGAACCCAGGAGGTGTAAGTTGCAGTGAGTGGATATTGTGCCATTGCAGTCCAGCCTGGGCAACAAGAGTGAAACTCCATCTAAAAAACAAAAAATTTATGTTCTAATTTAAACTATACAAATCTACATTAATTTATTAAGCTTTTGCTGGAAGGCCATGGCCTTTTTTTTTTTTTTTTTTTTCCAAGAGACAATGTCTCGCTATGTTGCCCAGGCTGGAGTGCAGTGGCTATTCACAGACGAGATCCCATTACTGATCAGCACAGGAGTTTTGACCCGCTCCGTTTCCGACCTGGGCCGGTTCACCCCTCCTTAGGCCACCTGGTGGTCCTCCCCTCCTGGGAGGTCACCATATTGATGCCGAACTTAGTGCAGACACCGATTGGCATAGCACACTACAGCCCAGAACTCCTGGGCTCAAGCGATCCTCCCACCTCAGCCTCCCAAGTAGCTGGGACTGTAGGCACACACCACCATGCCTGGTGGATTTTTCTTTAATTATAAGTTCATTTACTGGAATTCTGATTGTCTCCCTTGCAAAACCACACCCATAATTCATCATCTGTGACTCTCAGTTTGGTGGAGCAAGAATTAGAAATGTTGATCCTGTGCTGTATTGGAATATTAAAAACAAGAATTAGAAACCTATGAAGAAAATCTAAGTTCAAAATCTTTTAAACTTTGTATAATTTATTAACATTTTATCATTTTCCCTTCTTTTACATTTATCTCACCCAACCTTAACAACTATTTTTAAACAACTCATCATCAGACCTTTTGAAAACATTCAACTTAGTTTTCACAGAAACAAAAATTATTTATGTTTTTGTATTTCATTGATTTGCCTAATGTTTAATGAAGTTAGACAATAATAAGTGCAACTGGCATAAACAGATTTGGGACCAGATACTACTGACATTTGATAAGCATGCAACTTAACTCTTTGGAGCAAAGTGTCTGGACATATGAGACATCTTTGTAGTTTAGAATGCTCAAGGAGAAAGAACTAGGCATCAATCTGTATATTTTAGGGATATGGAGAACATAGGTTAATATGACTAGTAAGTGGCAAAATGGAGTTTGGTTAAGAGAACTTTTGTTCTGTTTGTCTAAGGTTTAATGTTTAAAATTGAACTTACCTCCAGTTTGGGGATATAATGTGTGTTTCTTAGAGTTCTTTTAAAATATATTGATAGTGGAACATAATTGACAAGGGACCATTATTCCTTTTCTTGGCTGCCCTACATTTATGTTAATGAATTGACTTGAAAAAAAAAAAAAAAAAAAAAATGAATTGACTTGGTTTTCCCTTAACTCTGCAGCAACTTCGTATTATTCTCAATACCAAGTCACTACCAAAAGGGGTATTGATGGTGGTAATCTCCACTTTCCCATCTATGTCCAGCATTTTCCTTAGTTGAAAGTCTCAGGAGAGGGACCCATGTCATTGTAAGTCCTCTATCAAATTGTGTTCCATGGAATTCTCTGTTAATTGTCTGTCCACTTGAATTCACTTTGCTTATCAGCAAATTTGTCTTTTTTTTATATATATATTTTTCTGATTCACTCGATTTCTTTTGTTTTGTTTTGTTTTGCTGCACTGACAAAAGCCTTTTCTATGTTTTTGCAGGCTCTTTCTTGATAAGGATATTCCTAGGTATTTTCTGTTTGCTTTTTTGCACATAAAGGTTCTAGTTTATCAGAATGCTTTCTGTCTTATGTTGCTTTGATGGCTGTTTTAATGTTGTGGTTCCCTCCCCATGTAAACCTACTGTACCTAGGATAGAGTAGATCCTATTGTGTACTCTAAGAAGCACATAGCTTCTTCAGTGATTTTTCAAGTTTCAAATTATTTTCTCCGTTTATGAAACTTGTCAGTTTTATTCTTACGTCATTTCAGTTTTCCTCTTCTACGTTACAAAGTAGAATGTTTCGCCCTTCATTTCATTCAGAATCTCAGGCTTTGTTTTCTGTTCCCCTCTTTGTCTGCTCTCTGTCAAAAGCTTGACAAGTTTATTGCTTTATAAAGTCTGTTGCAGCCTTGCAAAATGGTTCGCTTTCTGCTCTGTTTTGTCCTGTGCAGTAGTAGGGACAAATGTGTCTATTTGGATAGTTGTGTCTGTAAGAAATATTTTATATATTATTTTTAACATTTATCTTGGTCCTGTCAGGATTGCGTATTTTATCTGTTTATTTTCTTCTTTTGGAACAGAAAAAGTCCTGGTTTGGTATTAAAGGAAGTTGTTTTGTTTTTTGCTTTTTGTTTTTTTAGATCTCTGTATCTCATTTAGGGAAGAAAATGGAAGGAAGTGATACATGGCAGTATAACCTAAAATGTTAAAAATGCATAAACATATTTATATATATATATATATATATATATTTTTTTTTTTTTTTTTTTTTTTGAGACGGAGTTTCGCTTTTGTTACCCAGGCTGGAGTGCAATGGCGCGATCTCGGCTCACCGCAACCTCCGCCTCCTGGGTTCAGGCAATTCTCCTGCCTCAGCCTCCTGAGTAGCTGGGATTACAGGCACGCGCCACCATGCCCAACTGATTTTTTGTATTTTTAGTAGAGATGGGGTTTCACCATGTTGACCAGGATGGTCTTGATCTCTTGACCTCGTGATCCACCCTCCTCGGCCTCCCAAAGTGCTGGGATTACAGGCGTGAGCCACCGCGCCCGGCCATATTTATATATTTGACTGATGTTACTGATATAATGATTTTATACCTTAATCTGGACTCCATTCAGTTTATATTTCAGAGATTGTCCTAATGAACTCAAGAGGGTTCATCAGATGTGACCATAATGTAAGAAGTTGGTTTCTGTTTTGTTTTCTTGAGACGGGTTCTTGCTCTGTTGCCCAGGCTAGAGTGTAGTAGCTATACCTGCAGATGGTTTTTATATATATATATATGCAGCTGGGCATGGTGGCTCACGCCTGTAATCCCAACACTTTGGGAGACTGAGATGGGCAGATCACGAGGTCAAGAGATCGAGACCATCCTGCTCAACATGGTGAAAGCCTGTCTCTACTAAAAATACAAAACTTAGCTGGGTGTGGTGACACACCTGTAGTCACAGCTGCTCTGGAGGCTAAAGCGGGAGAATCACTTGAACCCAGGAGGCAGAGGTTGTAGTGAGCTGAGATCATGCCACTGCACTCCAGCCTGGGAAACAGAGTGACATTCCATTTCATAAATAAATAAATAAAATAAAGTGCAGTAGGATGATCATAGCTCACTGCAACCAGGAATTCCTGGGCTCAAGCAGTCCTCCCGTGTCAGCCTCCTAAATAGCTGGGACTGTAGGCACATGCCACCATGCCCAGCTGAT